ACAGCACAGTAAAAAAATTTGAATAAAGCCAGGTTGGTGTTATCGATTATAGAGAAGGAGGTTCATTCCAGTTTTAAAATTTGTTCCAGTTCTTCCGCAAGATGGACAAGCGGTTAAAAAATGAATGTTCAGTATCTAAAAATAAAAAACAAGGGTACGGGAAGAATGATAAATAAAGAAACTAATAATAGTGGGCAATAATGGTCTCACTGATGGAATCAAACTCTCGATCTTCAGTACGACAGTGTTGGTATTCGCCGCCGCGCAATGCCCGCAAACCATGAAGGAAGAAAATTGGGAAATAAGGAGAGTAAGACTTAGCACTGGATAAATACCTTTGCCAAAAGACTTGAAATGCGAAACTTTTTTTCGCGTAAAAGGCGGGTAGGTTGAATAAACCTTTGTATTGTTACTTAGCTTTAATAAAAAAGGCGAGTGCTTCTTAACGATTTTGCAGCTCGCGGGCCCAGTCGAGTTGAGGAGTCAGATACAGGATAATACAACCAACCGCACTGATAACTACCGGCCACTTCTGGACGAAAATTGGGCGACAGTAAGCGGAAGCACTGAATATGCCGGTCACAACAAAAACAGAATCCGCAGATGTAGACGCTCATTTATATGCAGTTACTGTGGTAAAATCTTTTTTGCTGCTTCACCGCTGAAGATTCACCGAAGGAAGCACACTGGCGCGAAGCCATACAACTGCACACAATGTGATAAGAGATTCGGAGCACTGGGAAATTTACGGAAGCACTGCAGAACTCATACTGGTGAGAAGCCGTTCAAATGCGACCATTGCAATTCGAGCTTCGCGCAGAAAATAAACTTGCAAACACACATGCGAACTCATACTGGTGAGAAGCCATTCAAATGCGGTTTTTGTAACTCGAATTTCAGCTGCAAAGCAGGCATGCAAACACACATGCGAACTCATACTGGTGAGAAGCCGTTCAAATGTGACCGTTGCAATTCGAGCTTCGCCCAGAAGATAAGCTTGCAAACACACTTGCGAACTCATACTGGTGAGAAGCCGTTCAAATGCGATTATTGCAATTCGAGTTTAGGTCAGAAAACAGACATGAAAAGACACATGCGAATTCATACTGGTGAGAAGCCGTTCAAGTGCGACCATTGCAATTCGAGCTTCACCTGGAAGATAAGCTTGCAAACACACATGCGAACCCACACTGGTGATAAGCCATTCAAATGCGGTTATTGTGATTCGAGTTTCGGTCAAAAAACAGACATGCAAAGACACACGCGAACTCATACTGGTGAGAAAACAAGTGCGGAATTTGCGAAAAAAAGACGAATGACCAAGCCTGTTCAGCTCGGCACCAGAAAACCAGAAAAATCACTGAGTGAAAGAACGTAAGAATTCAAATTCTACTTTATAAACATGATCAAATATCATTTCTCGAGCAGTCTTAAATTAAAGCTTATGAAAGCCGGAAGTACGCAGTTGCCAATATTACTAAAATCCCTCCGACGCCAGTGTGGTTGCCTCATTTCAATCATAATATTTGTGTGCTCCCTTATGCCGGACCGTTCTATAATGAGCTGTAAGCCTTCATTAGCACCCATCGTGTGTTCGATGTATGTACGCAACTTCTACGA